GTAGGGAAGGTAAGAGATGAATTAGGAGGTTCCACAGGTGAAGGACAATGATATTCATTACCGTTTCATGACAGTAATGAATATTGGTTTTCATGACAGCCAAATAATCACACATGAAACTGTCTTTAATAATGATAAAAATAGGGGCCAGCAGGTGGTATAGTGGTTAAGGCTCTGGACTCCCACATGATTGACCATAGTTCAAGACCCAGACCCAGCAAAAAGCTTGAAACTCTTAAGAGGAGAATGGAGGAGACAGGACTGTGGTGTGGCCATTCCCCCAAGGGGTGACTTTTCACTTTATGTCTCTGTCTCTTTGGAAGGACACATGTCTTATAACAAAAATCTCTCTCAAAAAAATGATAAAGATGACTATCCCATTATGGAATGTAGATAATCCCTGAAGCAGGGTGTTAGGTACTTTATCTGAAAGAATTCTAGTAAAGAGATATTCTTAAGGTCTGTATTGTACACATTAAAAAACTGGCTCAAAGAAACCAAACAAACCTGGAAATAATAGTTTTCCATCATTGCTTAACAAATACCACAAGCTCAATGGCTTAAAAATAACATAAATGTAATAGTTACAGTTTTGGAAGTCAGAAGTCTGCAATGGGTCCCAGTGGGTGGAAGTCCAGGTGTAGACAAGGCTGTATTCCTTCCTGAAAGTTCTGGAAGAGAATTGCATCTTTGCCTTTTTCTTCTTCCAGAGGCCCCCTTGGCTCACATTCCCACCCTCACCATCAAAGCCAGCAACAGATCATTATCTCTGAACTCAAATCCATCATCACATCGCACTCTCTGACTCTGATCTTTGGTTTTTCTCCTCTACTTTTAAGGACCCTTGTGGTTACATGAACCACTGGATAATCCAAGATCATCTCTCATCTGCTGTTCAACAAATTAATTCCGTTTGCAGCTTTAATTCCCCTTGGCTATGTAACATACCATAGTCACAGAGATATCTTCAGAAGGCCCATTATTCTATCCACAACACTGAGATTGCTGAGCAGCAAGTGGCCAAGTCTGTATCAAAATAAAAGTCTAACTACAAACTCATAGTCATGACTTTCACATTCTCCTGGTTTTATCCAACAGCTATACTGTTTTTTCGGCCCCTTAACTAACTCCATGAGACACTGCGAGTGCCCGGCATCTCAAGCCTCCTCATTCTTCAAAGTTCAGCATGACTTTCATCTCTGCAATGGAGCACTTCCAAAGTAAACTCTCCTGGTGAACATCAAAGTCATACGGACGAAAATCTCCATCTGTAGTCTTGCAAGTGTTTATGCAATCTGGGCTGGGATGCACTGGGAAAAGAGCCGATCCCAGCCCTGAGAAGCCCATCTTGTCTTCTGCCACCTACTCACCTGGTTTCAAATACTGGTCAAGTTTTAAAGGGGTAAAGAGAACCAGGATAATCTTTCTTCTGTAGGAAAGTTTCTGATATACATGAAGGAAATAACCAATAGTCTCTTAAATTCACATCTTCCCTCTGCCAGGAGGAAGGCCATCCTCAGAGGCCAAGGACTGGCGCCTTCTCCATGCATTGGGCACACCATCCTATACATACTACAGCTTACCTATGAGCCCCTCGAAGAGTGGCAGCTCCTTGGGTGTGTCCAGTCAGACCTCTCCCTAGATTTCCATAAACTCATACCAGATCAAACTAGCTCTTCAGTAGCTACATCATAATATAAGTAAGATCTGTACTTACGCAGATTTATTTCATTGATTTAACATTGATTAAAATTGTTAAGATATTTGTAACACAAGTCCTCAAAAACCTACAAAGAGAACTATCATATTATCCAGCAATTTCACTACTGGGTGTCTACCCAAAGGACAGGAATGCACTCAGTCAGAAAAACACTTGCACATCCATGTTTATTGTGGCATTATTCATAACTACTAAAACACAGAATTTAACCAAATGTCCAAGAACAGATGAATGACTGAAAAAAGTGTGATACATATATACTATGAATACTAATCAGCCATAAAAAACAATGAGACCCAAGCATTTGATAGAAAGTGGATAAATAGGGAAGATTTAATGCTAAGTGAAGCAAACCAGACTATGAAAGAGAAGCATTGTATATCCCCACTTAAAATATACCAAACGTCTATACTCTATATGGTGGAAACTTAAAGATCATAAGATATAAAAACAGGGAGAGAAACTGTGGATACCAGAGAGAGCATAGGAGAAGGGTGGAAATGCAAAGGAGGGGGAGGAAGTGAATCAATGGCGGGGGCAAAACGTATGATAGACACAAAAATGAAAATTTGTCTGTTAATGATAATGAGTATGGAATGTCTTTAACTGGACTGATAGGTATTCATTCTGGAAAGATTTCTTTTGAATGCTGTCGAGATGTATAGTGATTAAATGTAAAAAAGAAAATTAAAAAAATAAAATATATCTTCAATCTGCTACTACTAAATTACAAAAAACAAATTTGGTCGATGGTTTATTTGTGAGTTTTGGGGTAATATGACCCAAACAAAAGTATTTACCCTTACACCTATTAAAATGCATTTTTAAGACTCAGCCTCCTTCACTCAAGGTCTCTTCACGCTCCCTCTCAGTTTCATGCCATCTAAACATGTGCAAATAGTGGCTTCGACATTTTTGTCCATGCCACTGAGAAAATGCCTACGAGCCCAGAACTGCGAGAGCTCTACAACACTAGATCAAAAGGATTGAGGCAAGGAGTCAACAATTCCTTTGGATGCCTTAGGGCAATTAGTAACCACCTAATTATGTCAGGCTCCACCCCACGCTTCTCCAGCTCATCCACAGCAGAGCAGAAAGCTCGTCAAATGCCTGATGAAGAAAGATGATGCACTGCATCTACCGCATTTCCCAGGCTGCCCCTGTCAGAGAGGGCAGCAGAAGCTGAGAGCGGTGGCAGCCATACTTAGAGTCATTTCTCCAGATCCTCCAGGGAGTGAAATGTGTTGGCGGGAATGATCTTAGATGGGTTGTCTCACAAAAAATTGCAGTTGCCTTCCCTTGCTGCTGTGGACAGATGTGGAAACAGAACAGCGAGTCATACCAGCTCTGCCTGAGTGCCTCTGGACGTGTTCTGAGCTTCAGTTTCCTGACAATGAAATGAACAGAGCGTCCACTCTGCTTGCCTGTCTGACTTCTGGAAAGTAACAGTTCGGCTGAGCTGTGAAAGCTACAGGCACACACCTACCACTGATGCTATGCACATGAGGCCACCATGATGTCGTTCAGTCACACCTCTCGTGACCCCACCTCATGTCCTCAATCAGCCCAGCAGCACTGTATTCCTGGGCACAAGCCCTTGGGGAAGTTATAGAAATGACCTCGTGTTCCAGAGCTCTCGCACTTCTGAGCTTGTAGGCATTTTCTCAGTGGCATGGACAAAAATGTCGAAGCCACTATTTTCACATGTTTAGATGGCATGAAACTGAGAGGGAAAAATGCAAACATTTCCTTGAAAATGCACCCACTGTCAGGACCAGCTGATGACTTAGTGGTTATGTTGCTGGACTCCCAAGTAGTCAACTGCAGTTCCAGCCCTGGATCTGGCAGCTTAAAATTCACACCAGGCACATGTGCGTGCATGCCCAAAATCCTGAGAGGTGAATGGAGGAGAAGGGATTGTGGTATGGCCATTCCCTCTGGTGGTGACTCCTCATTTTATATCTCTCTATCTCTCTGGGTGAGCATACATTTCCTATAGAAAAAAGAAAGAAAAAGAAAGAAAGAAAGAAAGAAAGAAAGAAAGAAAGAAAGAAAGAAAGAAAGAAAGAAAGAAAGAAAAAGAAAGAAAGAAAGAAAGAAAGAGAAAGAAAGAAAGAAAGAGAAAGAAAGAAAGAAAGAAAGAAAGAAAGAAAGAAAGAAAGAAAGAAAGAAAGAAAGAAAGAAAAAGAAAGAAAGAAAGAAAGAAAGAGAAAGAAAGAAAGAGAAAGAAAGAAAGAAAGAAAGAAAGAAAGAAAGAAAGAAAGAAAGAAAGAAAGAAAGAAAGAAAGAAAGAAAGAAAAAGAAAAAAAAGAAAGAGCGAGCCACCCACTACCTACAATTGCTTTCGAGGTTAAAAACTGTTTCTATGACTAAAATGACATCGACATGAATCCTAAGTGAATGTTAAACCTGCTTTGTTTTAATAAAACAAGTTTCATACTTCACAACCCAAACTGACTTTACGGAAGTGCGTTAAAGCTCTAGCCTGTGTCATTAAACGGATGCCGCCATCATGACCTCGGGAACAGGCCTGTGCTCAGGGCTGTGAGTGTGCCAAAGCATTATACCTGCTCTCCTGTGCAGTCACACCGGTGAGTTGACATCACTCATAACCAAAGAGGTCATTGAACAGATGGCCCACGTGACCTGGCAGCTGTTGGAGTGGGAAATGTGACGAGAGCAGCACGCCTCACTCACGGGTGCGAGACCTCGGCCTGGCCACGTCCGCCTCAGAGCTCAGCTTGCTCACGTGTAAGTGTGTGCACTATGTTCTCCTCACCGTGTACCCGTTCAGTGCTGGACCCTCTTTATCACTGCACCCGCTTCACTGGTGTGCCTCTCCACCATCGTTCCCTCATTTTACACTGTTCACTGTTGCACCCTCCTCACCAGTGTACCCACGTCACTGTGTACCCTCTTCACCAGTGTACCCACGTCACTGTGTACTCACTTCACCAGTGTACCCATGTCACTGTGTACCCTCTTCACCAGCGTGCCCACGTCACTGTGCACTCTCTTCACCAGCATACCCACGTCACTGTGTACCCTCTTCACCAGTGTACCCACGTCACTGTGTACTCACTTCACCAGTGTACCCATGTCACTGTGTACCCTCTTCACCAGCGTGCCCACGTCACTGTGCACTCTCTTCACCAGCATACCCACGTCACTGTGTACCCTCTTCACCAGTGTACCCACGTCACTGTGTACTCACTTCACCAGTGTACCCATGTCACTGTGTACCCTCTTCACCAGCGTGCCCACGTCACTGTGCACTCTCTTCACCAGCATACCCACGTCACTGTGTACCCTCTTCACCAGTGTACCCACGTCACTGTGTACTCACTTCACCAGTGTACCCATGTCACTGTGTACCCTCTTCACCAGCGTGCCCACGTCACTGTGCACTCTCTTCACCAGCATACCCACGTCACTGTGTACCCTCTTCACCAGTGTACCCACGTCACTGTGTACTCACTTCACCAGTGTACCCATGTCACTGTGTACCCTCTTCACCAGCGTGCCCACGTCACTGTGCACTCTCTTCACCAGCATACCCACGTCACTGTGTACCCTCTTCACCAGTGTACCCACGTCACTGTGCACCCCCTTCACCAGTGTACCCACATCACTGTGCACCCACTTCACCAGTGTACCCACGTCACTGTGCACCCTCTTCACCAGTGTACCCACATCATTGTGTACCCTCTTCACCAGTATACCCACGTCACTGTGTATCCTCTTCACCAGTGCACCCACGTCACTGTGCACCCCCTTCACCAGTGTACCCACGTCACTGTGCACCCTCTTCACCACTGTACCCACGTCACTGTGTACCCTCTTCACCACTGTACCCACGTCACTGTGTACCCTCTTCACCACTGTACCCACGTCACTGTGTACCCTCTTCACCACTGTACCCACGTCACTGTGTACCCTCTTCACCACTGTACCCACGTCACTGTGTACCCTCTTCACCACTGTACCCACGTCACTGTGTACCCTCTTCACCACTGTACCCACGTCACTGTGTACCCTCTTCACCACTGTACCCACGTCACTGTGTACCCTCTTCACCACTGTACCCACGTCACTGTGTACCCTCTTCACCACTGTACCCACGTCACTGTGTACCCTCTTCACCACTGTACCCACGTCACTGTGTACCCTCTTCACCACTGTACCCACGTCACTGTGTACCCTCTTCACCACTGTACCCACGTCACTGTGTACCCTCTTCACCACTGTACCCACGTCACTGTGTACCCTCTTCACCACTGTACCCACGTCACTGTGTACCCTCTTCACCACTGTACCCACGTCACTGTGTACCCTCTTCACCACTGTACCC